AAAATGATAACTCCGAAACGAGAAAAGATAGAAAGTTGAAATTTTGAGGATATATTCCTCGCCCACGTAGAACTCAAAAATTTCAAATTCATACCCCAAGCACGCGTTATTTCTGCGCACGGTCTTGTAACTTCCCTGGCACAAAAATCGGTAACTTGGGGACCATGAAAACTAGAAGGCAGAAGTTTAAAAGGGATGTTCCTAGCTCATGTTCAACTTGAAGAAATCAAAATTGAACCCGAGGAGTATGTGGCTCTCACGTACGGCCTTGTGAGTGTTTTTGGTGGAAAATGGCTAACTCAAGAACCAGGAAAGCTGTGAAAACGAAATTTTAAAGACGTGATCCTCGCTTATCTACTACTTAAACTTATCAAGTAGAGCCACTGGCGTGCGTGGTTCTCAAGTGTGGCCCGTGAAAGTTTTGGCGGAAAGAATTGCTAACTCGGGAACCGGGAAAGCTGAGAGGCTGAAATTTTAAAGAGGTATTTCCAGCCCACCTACAGCATAAATATTTCAAACCCAGCCCCCAGTTATGCTCTCAGGTCACGTACGGTCCAGTGAAATTTTTTGGCAGGAAAACTGCTAATTCGGGAACCAGAAAAACTGGAAAGCTGAGATTTTAGGAGAATATTCCCCATCCAAATACAACTTAAAGGTTTCAAATTCAGCCTGCAGGTATACATGGTTTTTGTGTATGGACACTTAAATTTTTAGTGAGAAGCTGGGTCATTTTCAAACCCAGGCTGGAACGCATCAAACGGGCCCGGACGATCATGCGTTTTTGCATCGGACTTGAAGTACTCAGGTCATTAACTGCAAGAATGGTTGTTGCTCTACACTTACCTTTTGCGGTCACTGACATAAATCACCATAAATTTTGCATAAAGTAAGTGTATAATTCCCATTTAATCATTCTTTGAAAGTAAGCTAGTTGTTCAGTCAGGAATTCAGCCAAAAGTTTAGATGCCCGCACGTAAGAACCACGCATGCCTCGAGGCTGAATTTGAAACACTTAAGTTATACTTGGACAGGGAACAGTCCCCAAAAATTCCAGCTTTCTAGCTTTTCTGGTTCCCGAGTGTAATTTTCCCGCAAAAAATTTCATACGCACTTACATGAGAACTACGCATAGATTGGAGCTGACTTTGAAGTATTTGAGTTGTATTTGAAAAGGGAACGTTACCCCGGTGTTTCAGCTTTCCAGCTTTCCTAGTTCCCGAGTTAACAATTTTCCCGCTAAAAATTTTATACGCCCTTACGCGAGTACCACGCACGCCTGGGGGCTGAATTTGAAATCTTTAGCTAGCACATGCACATGGAATATCCCTACAAAGTTTCAGCCCTTCAGGTCGCGTCGTTCCCGAAATCGCCTTCCCGCCAAAAAAGTTGCATATTTATTTGAAGCGTCCGCACGTTGCACCCGGGAGTTCGTGGGGATGAAATTAAAACGTGAGGATCGCGCATGGTATGAGTACATACTCCCATAGTTTCAGCTTCTCGCTTTTCTGTTCTCGAGTTGAAAGCGGGCGGCAAAAAATGCGAACACACAGACACACATACACACACAGATAGCCTCTTCCCAATATGCGTTTCTGCAATTTGCATATATGCAAAAAAGCATAAAAAACGGCTGCTAAGAGCAAATTGTTTATTTTCGTTTATGCAAAATTTACGGTGATTTACGGTATCGAGCGCGCAAGGTGGGTGTGAAGCAACAGCTGTTCATGCAGTTAACTTAATTATTTCAAACTTGGTGTTAAAACTTATGATCTCACCGGCTGACCTAGTGCTTTCCAGCCTGGGTTTTTATTAAAATGAGTAATTTTAGAACGGTCAACTGCAACCTTCTCAGCTTGGGAAATACTTTGTAAAATTCTTCAGCATGAGATCTGCTGTTGCTATCCTCAGCAAGAATCAGTTTACAAATTTTCCAGTACAAGGATAATTCATCGAAGGAGGAAAAAAATGTGATTCTA